TGTTTAGGTACAGGGAAAGAAAATCTAATCCCCTTTGCCTAGGGACAACTACTATTGAATATAAACTGGGCTGACTTCATACCTTCACTTCTTAAAGTGATTTGTTTATTTTTAAATTACTTAGTAGGTGACAACTTGTCATTTTAACAATTGCTATGGAAACAACGTGCTTTCAGTTTTTACTTGCTGTAACACCATTGTCAGAAATGTGAAAACTATAATGAATTCTTTTGAATACAGCAAGGTTTGTTGGTTGGGGGTTTTTTTGTGGGGTTATTTATTTTTTTTATAATCCTGGATTGTTTATCTCCAAGGCATGACAAAATTCAGCTATAAATAAGCTACTTGAAGTCTCACAGCCCACTCTGGGTTGCTGTTGCTAATGGGATCAGAAGCTGTAATCAAGAGAGCAGCAAGTCTAGCTACTACCTGTGATCATCTGATGTCAAGAAAAAGGCAGCATGGTAGTTCCAGTGTTTGGGACTTTGAATTGGAGGTATGGTAAGGAAGAAGATGCCCCCTTAATGCCATGCATTAAGGACTTTGTTGTAGTGGTCTAGGACAGAGAAGGAACTATTGTCCCACACAAAGATGTAGCAAGACATCGCTGTGGATGTGGAGCCTTCCTCACAATGCTCACTGGGGTCCTTACAGTCCCTGCTGGTGCAACAAATCTGCAGGATACATAACAACAGCAACAGGTTTAAAATTGCTCTGATTTGTCACAACTGTTAGCAATTTAGGGACATCCAGCCTTTCTACATTTTCCGAGAGCCATTATTATCAGACTACAATGCAAGCACTGCCTCTGGAGTTGCCTAGTTTTGTATCTTTCTGCCATCATCCATACTGACTGTATTTGTGGAGTAAATGCAGTAGGACATACCTTCTCGAGTCCTTAGTGGAGATTTGGCAGCAGGGCCAGCAGCAGAAAAATGAATGCCTCCATGAACATATTCTTTTGAATCCTGATGTATCAGGATTTTGTGTGTGCTTTAGTGTCAGCGGATTTTAGTGGCAATGAGTTCCATGTATAATATTTGCTATGCAGAGAGAATTTCCTCCTCATAAATTTTAAATTTATCTTTAATTGAAGAGGCTCTTGTTAGGGATCAGGCAGAAAGGGAATTCCTGAGCTGTTACTGGTGCGTTGTTGGTTATTTTATTATAGCTCCTCTTCTATGTCTTTTTCTTCAAGTAATCTATCCCTGTGGCTTCTGACTTCCTCCATAGGAGAACTTCTCTATCCCCTTGATCATTCTTGCTGCCTCACTAGGAATCTTCTTTCATAATCATGTGCTATCCATCAACACATTCTGCCTGAGGATGTCTGCTCAGCTGGTAGACATCTGATAAATTACATGCTAAATCTAGGTACTTCCAGAAAGATGTTCCTATCTGTTTGTCTCAGAGTCTCTTGGTAGGTTATTAAAAGTAAGTCTTTTCTACTTGAATCCTCCTAGCTGATACCAGAAGTGTCTATTTCTACTTTTCTTTTTTAAATTAGATGAGGCAGATCACTCTTTCTGACTGCCTTGTTCTTGTTTACTGTGCTCTCACTTCCTGCCAACCACAAATATTATTGCCAGTAACTTTGAAAATTCTCATCTCCAGTATTGATGCAAATATTGAATACCAACAGGTCTTGAACTGATCCCTGCAGAAATCCAGTGGAAGCATCTAACTTGCTCATAGTCCCCAACTGACTCAGCAATCTGTCAGCGTGTTCTGAATTTAATTACCCTGTGCTTTATTGTTTATACTGCTAACTTTTTAAAAGTCAAAATTGCATGTGGTAATAAGCCTCTCATGGCATCTTGCAATACTTCTCAAAATTTTTGTATAGTAAATGAGAAGTCTCTTTGGCAATTTTGTTTGTAGTTTTTTGGGCTCTGAAATTAATTTGCACTCTCTCAGATTTGTTTTGCTTATGTCAGTTTTTGTTTATGCATTTACTAAACTGTGAGCAGCTGGCAAGGCACTGGGGAAGTTTTTCTGCAGAATCAGTAAGAATATTTTACAGCTGGGCCAGATTTCTTTTTTTTTCCTGAATGAATATTTTAAGTGTCGCCTTATTCTTTGGGTATTATTTCCTATTTACTGTCAGGGGAAATTTCTATTCCTTTCCTTGTGCTGTTTGTGCCATTTTTTTCGGTTTTCTCTTAGATCAGAGAATGGTATTTCTCCAAACCAAAGCTGTGGTAGCTTACCTGTGACATATAAATATCAACCTGTCAGAGCCCTGCATGCCTACCCACGTCCTCCTGAAGGTTTAGTTGTGTGTGTTGAAGGTGTTCCAAAGCTCAGGCTCGAGCTTGCTGGAGGTGGTAGGCACAGGCACGGCTGCGACACAGCTTGGGCAGGGACCAGGGTGAGGGCCTGAGTGTAAATCACCTCCCAAGCCAAGAGAGGCTCCTTTCAGCTCATCTCACAGCTCTGCTGTTTTCCCAGGGGTCTGATGTTGAAGGTTACACAGCTGCACCGTGGCAAACCTGGCCTTGAGCATCAGCAGTCAAGCCCCAAGGAGGGAGTGGGTGTGCTCAGGGCCAGACAAAGCCCTTTCGTAGGCTCTGGACACTGCCATTTGGTTAAAAATAACAGCCTATGTTACTGGCAGACTAACCAATTTCAGATTGCTTCTCAGTTAGGTTTGTTTCTGTCCAAATGGTGCTGGTTCAATTACATAACTAATTAATGGGGAGTTTATGGAAGTACGAAATTTTTCAGTTGGAGAACGTTTATTTTTGTGTTAATGATGGGAGCTTGAACTCCTAAACAGATGGCTGCAGATCTGCAGGTATAGTGAACATTATAGGGAGATGACATTAACTTGAATAAATAGGTTCATGAGCAAATATTAATGAATACTTGGATGAATATGTGAAAGTTGTGATGAAGAAGCATGCGAGGAAGGCACTTAAGGGCAGCCTGGGGGAAGATTTTTCTTTGGGAGCTGTGTATTATATGACAAAAGATGACATAACTCACTTTTTCAGCAAGGAGGTAGCATTGTTTTGCATTTCTTTTTGGTGATTTAGGTTAGGAGATTAGCAAAAAGAGGTTTTGGCATTGGTGATACTCTTCCTCACTACTTTGGCTGGGGACTGTTTCTTTTGTTTGTTTTCTGTCCATTTGCTTCTCACCACCTGCTCCATTGTTGTTGTTTTGGGTTGTTTTTTTTAAAAAGAAGGCTTTTCAATTGTGCATTCTGTTTTGTCTTGGTTATTTTGTTGTTGTTGCTTTATGGTGATCCTCTGCTGCAGCACTCCTCTCACCAGCAGTACCTCCCAGTAGGGCTGCAAAGCCAATGGTACGTCTCTGACCTCCGGCGTCCTGCGTTCTTTAAATCTGCCAAATGGTTCATGGGTGCTCTTGCCAGTGTTCAGGCACAGCTGGATGCAGGCCAGGCGTGGGGGTGTTGCAGTGGGGAGGGCAGGTGGGAGAGAGGGGAAGGGATGAATTCCTGTGAGCCTGCATCACAGCCGGTGTGCTGCTTTTTATGTTGGGACGGAGCAGCTAACTTGATTAGTGTATGTTTTCATAAAGACTTTTATTTTGTTACTAGTGCGTCATTATCAGAATGAAAATAGTGGATTTAGTAAATTCTGCAAGGTATTCAAATGTTCCTTTTGCATCTTGGTAAACTGAAAAGGATTAATGAGAATTTTGTATGCTGGTTTTTTTGGTGTTTTTTTTTTTTTTTTTTTTTTTTTTAATACTGGGCTTTTCCCAAGAGTTCTGGCCAATCGTATGGATAAGGGGAGGGAGGGGGATTTTAATCTGGGAATGACAATGAAAATAAACAGAGCTGTCTATAGTAGTGGGTATAAAAGGTATGAGAGGCCATAGATGGGTTGTTGGTTTACTGTGTTGTATAAGAATTTTTTTTGCTGTTTTTTTTTGTTTTTTTTTTTTTTTTTTTTTTTTCTTTGCACTGGGTTTATTAATCTATCTATTCCAATTTTGCATTGACAAAAGGATAATGAAGGTATGAATTTGTCATGTGACTAGTGAATTGCTGTGAAGGTGGTGACATTGCAGTAGTGAAACTTTGTGTTTGTGGATCCTTGTGTACAGCATTCACAAAGCTGTATTTGTAGTATGAAAAGTGTATGTCTCTCCTAACTTGTGTGCTCTGTCATAGTTCATCTTCCAAGTGTGGCCTTTCTGTTGAAAAGGTTATGGCAATACCTGTAGAGCTAAAGTTCATTCTACATTAACATCATCTTTTCATAATTTCGGAATGTGTACGGAGCAGTTCATGCACTGCAGTAATTACATACCGTAAGATTGTGATTATACGATCCTGTGCTGACTGCTTTTCATATTTGCAGCACCACAGAAAAGTATTTTTGATTACTTTATGTTATTATTATTTACCATTGGACGATTTGTCACATCTGATTACTTTTGTTTATAATTCTCCTGACTATTCCTGTGAGCTCAAGCCAATGTTTAGTTCTGAAAAAAACCAAACCCAACCACAAACCAGACCATAGTCTGATATCACACAAAACCAAAAAAGGGGTATTCGTCTTCTCCATGTGGGCACAAAGGTGCCAAGAAGCCAGTTTTAAGCAGCTAAGTGAGCATTTTTCCAGAATTAGGAGGAGTGTTTTACAGAATTACTACAGAATTAGGACTGGGTGTTTTACAGTCTACTTTGCGATAAGAGTAGATGTAGACATGACTCCCTCTGCCACCAGTGTAATAACAGCTTTTTGTGGCTGTGTTTCCATCCACATGTCCATTTGTCCTATTTTTCTAAGTAGCAACTAGTATGTGCTGTGTTGATGCGAGAGATTGTGCCCAAAGCTTGTGAATTTCTTTTTACAAGTGAATACACTCACAGTATTATTATTTTTAACAAAGCCTTCTCTAAAGTCTTGAAATTACTTCTGTTGCTGTGCTACCGCTACTGTTACATGTTCAAGCCTTGAACTGTCAAGGAATTATGAAGTATTTTTATCCTGTGACATTTTAAATTATTCTCTCCATAGGGGAAGCCTGTGGGAACGCCAGATGCTGGTGCCTATTTCCGTGTGCTAACAGAGCATGAAGTAGCTGCCTTCTTTACTTCACCAACTGCAATTAGAGCAATCCGTCAGCAGGACCCTGAGGCAGCCTTGGGAAAGCAGTACTCTCTGAAAAGGTGAACTAAGGATACACTGGAAGCAGTTTCTTACAGAAACAGACTGGATGAACTAAGAATAGCAGAGTGTCTGGGGCTTTGCCCACCTCTGTATAGCAGAATTTGAATACATTCTTGACAGTTTAGGTGTACATGTGTTTGCTTGTAAATTTGTATTGGTAGTTTGGAGGAGATCAAAGCCATTAAAAAGATTACGACTCTAACACTAAGAGTTCTTATGGAGTTAGGATTGTTTCCTTACCCTTAATTTTACTCCACTGTGCATATACCCTGTAATACAGTCTTGGATTATGTGATCCCGCCCTGTTTTCCCACATGACCTCTCATTTCATTGAGTGCACAGGATCTTAACTTGTGTTTAATCAGCAGCTAGTCAATGTTTCGTTTATCTTCCCCATAACTTAGTTACTATTTATGGTTATGTGCTCCAAAGACAGAGCTTTTTTTCTATCTCAAGCTGGTTTTAAGGTGTTTATTGCAATACTATCAGTATGCTTCAAAATCGTGACTGAGTTCATCCTCACAAATCCCCTGTGAGATGAGAGAGTGGTATTATCTGTATTTTGCAGATGGAAAGCTGAGGCACAGAGTGATTAAGGTCAAATTCTTCTATGTAGTTCTGAATATCCAGTCTGAGCTACTGAACTACCACTATTTCAGAGTGCTTAGCATTCTGTGGTTAAAATGCGTTGCTAGCATTGTATCAATAAAATGCCTCTCACACTGACTTGCATCTAAGAGCATTTAGTGCTTCTACAAACCAAGTTTCTGTATCTTATGGCAAACATTCTGAAAATGAAAAGTATGTGGTTTTGGACCACATCTAATCTTGAAATTGAATAATTTGCTCAGCATCAAGCAAGGATTGTGTCAGACTGTATAGGCAGTTTTCAGTCCTAAGAACATCTTTTATCATGCATAGAAGGGAAGATGTGGAGAGAGGAGGAGGGGAAGACGCAAAGCCATATAGCTTCATTAGACTTCCACGTTCTAAATTGTTCAGGAAAATTTTATTTATTGGTGAGTTGGATTTAGTCATGAGGTATTCATTACAAGTTCATCGTTACTTTCTTCCGTCTGTATTGAGTGCTATCATCAATCCTTAACCCTCCTTGAAATAGGAAACAAGCTCATTTGAGACCCTAATACATGTTTATTGACAAGAAGGTGATTCAGATGCTAGAAAATTTAATTGCTGTTAAATTGCTCTGTAAGTTGTCACATTTTCTGGCTGAATGAGAATTCCCGATAAGAGTGTCCTTGTTGATATCAGTTGCCCCAGATGTAAAGAGGTATTTCATCATTCCTATTCAGTGCATAGTTAATGAGCTTCTCCATTTGCAGCTTTAGTTGTCTCTTAATTCACTCAGCCTTGGGCCACGTCATTCCCTGATATGTGACTAGTCTTTACTAAACCCTCTAGCGCAGCATGTAATATCTGGTAGGTATAGTTGTTAAGAAATTGAGTCCAACAGGTGATTAAAATTTCCATTCTAGGAGAAATCTTGCTTTCGGATGTTACTTGTGTGGACTTTTCCATCCAGGGTCAAGTGAATTTTCTCTGTTTCAGTTAGAAATGAGTATTCCTTTTAGTTCATTTAATTGTTCTATGATGCTTTCTTCTCTGTTACATGGTGCAGTCTTTGAAGTGTCTTTCTGCTACCTGGGCTAAGATGCAGCCTTACTTACTTACTCTAGATACTCCAAAACACATGTCCAGGAATGCAGTCCTGAAAGAGGTTTCCACCATGGAACATTCCATTCTTGAAAAATTCTATTTAAAACCAGATAAAGGTCAATGTAACTTTTTAAAAAATCCTGTTAAAAAAGACAATTACTCATCAGGTTCAGAGTTGGTAGGCCATGCCAGTTTCCAGTATACAAGGGAATACTTCATTTACAAGAGTAAGCTGAGTTATAAGCAGACTTGCATTCTTTTGAAATGCCTGTTAAGAGCTGATATTGGTGGTGTCACTGGCCTCTACACAAAATTGTATGTGAGGTTTTCAAAGGTTCTAGTGTGTGTGCTTCAAATTCCTTGTTGGCTGTTGGAATAAAATCTTGAAATTCGTTTGTCTTTCACACAAAGCATCAACCTGTGTCTTAAACACAGCTCATACTTAACAGTAAAAGAGATGTTTAATTTGTAATGCTGTAGGATAAAAGCCCTGTTCAGCCACATAGTGCTAGAGGATCTAAAGATCCAGCTTTTGATGACACACAGTGCTGCGAAGCAGGCTGTCTGTTGTGTTTGAAAAACAAGTAGCATCCAAATTCTGACCCTCATGTACCGGAGCAAATTCTATTTAGCTTTTGGAATCTGTTCTCATCTTCTCGAGATAACTCTTCCCGTATTTGGAATCATACTTCATCCTTTAATTGTTGTCATTGTTATGAACTGGTTAGGTCTGATTTCCAAATGATTGAAAACTGACAGTTTTACATGAAATGGGGCAAAAAGTATAGCAGATTAGATTAACGTACAAGTAATAATTTGCAGTTTGTGTTCCATAGCCTACTTGGTTTTCTTGACTTTTGCTCAATTACAAATGTTCTACCATTTTATGTCAAGAGAACCTAGAGATTCTAGCTTGTTTATCTGATACCAGATATTATTGCACTTGCTTTAGAAAAAAATATGAGACTATGTAAAAACTGTGCAGAAATAATGAATATAAAGTAGATGAGAAACTGCCATTTTCTGTCTCATAACACAGGAAAAATGACACAGGAAGTAGCAAATTCAAAACTGTTAGAACAAAATACTTTTTCACGTAATTGATCTCACACATGCTGCTAGAGAATATATGATTAAGACAACAGAATTTAGGACAACTAGAATACATTCATTATGCAGTTCTGCCTGCTACCCCCTACTCTGTACTGCTGTAGATCATGTATGGCCATTCCTGTTGGAGTCCTGAGCTGTGTTCATGAAGAGCCTTTGTGGTGCTCCCCTTCACCCACACTATCAGAAGGAGCTGAGGTGCAGTTGTGTTCTGTGACTCTCTGACTGTCACCCAAATCTCCAGTGCTTGGATCCTCATGACCAAGGTAAAATCTATTCAGGGAGGAAAACAAACACATCAATGGATAAAAATCAGAAGACCTGAAAATACTATTTATTTCTTTTGCATATTTAGGTGTCGGCAATCTCCAGGTGCATTAAGAATTAGTAAAAGTTCTTTATTTCCAGTTTTTGTTAAGAAATCCAAATACACCTGCCTCACTGTCTTTTCAGAAAAAAAAAAAAAAAGGCAAGTTTATTTAGCATGATGCAGATAGAATTTTTCTTTTCCAGGAAAAAACGTGGTGTATGCATGCCAGAATTAAAAACACTTCTGTGATTTTTTAATCTGAAAAATTTCCAGATTATTACCCATGTGAATAATTCTGCTTTTGAGAAATGGTTTGGAGATGTGGTTTCTTTGTGGTTGGAGTGACACAGAAGCGTACATGCTGTATTGAACAATTTAGATTGCATCAGGGCCATTAGGGACTTTGATCTTTCCCCTAAATCAGGTGATACTTCAAGTCCACTCTTCTAGACTCTTGAATAGGGCCTAAAAGCTTGATTGCGCTGTATTTTATGTTAGGGGTATAGGTTTTCAGAACAAGAGTTTAGGACATATTTAACAGAGAGGTTTTAAGATCTTTCTTCCCCATTAACTGCATTGCAGTGATAGATGATTGCAGTAACAGGTACACTGACATGCTCTGAAGTTTTAAGTGGACTGTTAAAAAATTGTTCAGAATGGGATATTTTATAACGATTGCCATCTCTCTCTTGCTATACTGTATGGCATTATTTTCCCCTATCAAAGTCCTTATGCTTTGTTAGGCTTGTGGCACTCTGATATTCTTTTTGACGGTTTTGTGCTGTAAATGTGCCAAAGAGCTAATCCCTCTCTTTCTCACAACATAAGGTTGCTCTTGAGCCTGCGGATTAGTAAATATGATTATTAAAGATGGCAGTTCAGAAAAGAAGAATTCTACTTTTGGCTCAGGGGATAACATGATATCTTAACTTCTTTGTCAACTCTTCGAAGTTCTTGGTATTTTAATAACCCTGTTTTTTAAAACAGGGACGCTTAACAGAATTTTTCATCAGTTTATAATGTTGTTGAATTCATCGACTCAATTTTTACATCATAGCTGAAACGTTGTGTTTAACATGCCTAATTACAGAACATTCCATACCGTGCAAATTGAGCAGTGCTTAACAGGAGTGCCCTCATGTGAACATGAGTCTTAAAAAACTTTTCTTAAAATATATATTTGTGGGGTTTACTTATACAATATTTTGTTCTCTTCTATTATAAACTTTTATCCATGTAATTACTTCCAGTTAGCTATTAACTGTAATTATCACCAATGGTGTGTGCCCTACAATAAAAAGCATTCAGGTGTAAGATATTGATTGGGGTCATGCTCATTATAGTCATTATCTTCTAATGTGGGATATGTGCTCAGAAAGTAGTATATCAAAATGATGTTGTATATTTATGAGTAAAGAAAACTATGCTTATTTGATGTGAAAGCTGCTTATACATTTGATTCCCTGTCTTCTATTCCAAGAAGGAAGCCACTCCAAGCTATCTTGGGGTGTCAGAAAGGAGGGGTGGCCAAAATGCTGTTCTGAAATTAACCAAGCATATTCAAAGTATGCTTTTTGGTTTGGGCAGCCATGTTATGGACTGTCTGTGGTCTCTAGAGGAGAGGTCAATCTCTAGGTTCCCTCTAGGAGGTATTCCGTATTCCCAGTTCTATGGTTAGACAGGCTGATCTGTGCATTTCTTGCTCTGATTTTTCTCATAATTTCCTAAATTGCTTTCTGGATTTCATCTACATGGAAAGATGAATCTTGTAAATTTTTTTCTAAATTACGTGCCTCTGAAATGGAAATTGTTTCATGCCCACCATACCTAAGAATTCTCTCTTTTTGCAGCCATGAGTCTACAGGTTTTACAAAGTCAATGCAGTTTGTGTCCATTGCTGAAGGACAAGAGTCAAGTCCTTTGTTCAGCAGATGTCTTCATTCATAATGGACTGTATGAAGAAGTAGAACAAGAGTACAAGTAAAACAAAGTACAAAGAAGTACATGAAGTAAAACAAAATGTCACTGAAATTGTTCTGGCTGTGGTAGAGTGTGCTGCAATCCTATCAAGAGGATATTTTTGAAAAGTATTTTTAATCCCAGGGTCTGATCTTGGGCCACATGAAGCTCCATTCCTATCTGAATTAGGTATTCTGTCATCTCAGAAGCCACGAGGGTTGATGCAGTACTTGGTAGAGAGTCTCTGCAGTTTCTCTTGGTATGACAGGCTATTCATGAAATGTTTAGTCACTTCTATTGTGAGTATATCTGTAAAGTTTCACTCAAAGAAAGAGGTTATTTGCTAGTAAACAGAGTTCTTCTGATGTGGAGTCGCAGTCTGTGTTTGCCTCTTATCTTTCCTGTCTTCCCATAACTCTTTGAGGTTTTAAATTGCCTCTCTGGGTAAAATGAAAGTGGTGGTGTTGTTGGTCATATGCCAAGTAGGGAGGATTTGGGAGAGGGAAGGCATGATACCACCCTGTGCGGATACTACAAAATAGAAACAAGTTCTTTGGTCTGTAGTGATAAGACATGCGTGGCAGCTCTGCGTTCAGAGTTTCCATTATACCTCAGGGCAGGATAGCACCTGGTGGTTACAAATAGATATTGATGTGGCTGAAGCATTTCAGATGGCTACATCAGCCTCCTGGGGAGCTGCACAAAAGGTGCAGTTTTCCATTGTGATTTATGTGTAAAATGAAACCAGAAATGTTATGTCTTAAATTTCGCTCTGGTTTAGATTTTATTTCCCAAATAGATTTCTGTTGCAAAATCTTGCTTAAAGAGGAATGTCTTCAACTGTGCAGAAAAATAATAATGTCTAAAACTTTGAGACATTCCTGATTCCCTTTTTCTGAGATGCAGAAACAACCCTTCCAAGTTAACAATGCAACAACTTAATAGTGGTGTCTTTTGCTGGTTTTAAACAGTAACTTAATGAAGTCTCTGTACTGTAGCTTAGTCATGTGTTAGTGTTGCTTTAGGGCCTTGGATTTTTGATCATTTTGGTTTTCATTTTGTTATGTAAAAATAAACATTACCCTTTTAAGTCTTTTAAAGGTAAATTACTTTTCAAAGTTTCCTCTTGTTCTTTGTGGACTACAGAAGAAGCCTAGAAAACTAGTTCAGCATACTTTTTGGATAAAGATAAATATCATGCATTGCTGTCAATAGAAACCATATTGTCACAACACAGGCTATAAAACTAGGCATGTACTAATGACAAAGTTCATCTGAGTATAGTTGGCCGTTCATTTTCATCTGTACATCATCAATCTGAATTAAAAGATTGCTTATTTGTTTGTTGGGGGTGTGGGGGCAAGATCAGAACTGATTCTTCTCTTTAGTATCTTATTAGTTGACTGTGTCTGGCCGGTGTCATAAGTATGTCTGACTTTAGAATAAAATAGACATGACTTGACTCTTTCAGTTGGAAGGAACCTACAATGGTCTTCTAGTCCAACTGCCTGACCACTTCAGGGCTGACCAAAAGTTAAAGCATGTTGTTAAGGACATTATCCAAATTCCTCTCAAATGTTGACAGGCTTCTGGCATTGACGACCTCTCTAGGAAGCCTGTTTCAGTGTCTGATCTCCCTCTTGGTAAAGAATTGCTTCCTAATGTCCAATATAAAACTCTCCTGGTGCAGCTTTGAACTATTCCCATGTGTCCTGTAACTGGATCCCAGGGAGAAGAGATTGGCACCTCCCTCTCCACTTCCTCTCCTCGGGAAGCTGTAGAGAGCAATGAGGTCACCCCTCAGCCTCCTCATAGGACATTCCTTCCAGTCTTTTCACCAACTTTGTTGCCCTCCTCTGGATGCATTCAAAGACCTTCACGTCTGTCTTAAATTGTGGGGCCCAGACTCAAGGTGAGGCTGCACCACGTGCAATTTAACAGGGTTTTAAATTGCTCATTAGGAAATAAGTACAAAAAAAATCTGCTATGACATGAAAAAAGTTACTGTGCAAGTGTTAAGATGAGATCAAAACCTTAGCAGCATGCAGCAACGGTAATGTCTGGCTTCTGAGTACTGATAGTCGTATTTAAGAACGCTACCATTGACATAGAGGGTCTTATCATTCTAAACAGGGCATGAAGTGAATTTGCAATGCTTAATGAAGGACAATAAAGTGTGACAAAACCTCTGATAAAAGATTCTGAAGCTAAAGCCTGTGTGTGGGCTTAATACCCAGTTATATAGCACTACCTAATTTAATGGTACAAACAAGCAGATCACATCTGTCAGGACTGTGAGGTGTAGCATCTCTTCTCTACCAAAGTTGGCTGTGTGATGTCCTGTCAAATGAGCTGAGATCTAGTACTGTGATCAGGGGTCCAAGGCTGCTGAATGTTGTTCTGATTGGCATTACCTAGTAGGATTATGTTATTTTTTTAATTTATGTATATGTAGCCTGCCTCTCCACAGGTAAGTGGCCCTAAAGCCTATAAAAAGATGACAGTTCAAAAACCACAAAAATCTGTTTAAATGGGACATTATTAACTGAGAGTTATGCTACAGGTATTTCCTTCTAGTTCTGTTTATTTCCTTATTAATTTTTCTGATGTCTCTTTCTGATCCTTTTTTGCGATTTCATTCTTATATTTTGCTTAATGGATATCTACCTGGTTCCTGTGTACAGAGCATGCTACTATTTTTACTTCCATTGACAGTTGCTTGCCTCTGGTCTCCAGAGATCTTTGCAGTCAGAAAATAAACCTTCTTTTACATGATGTATGAAGTAACATAACTTAATATTGCTAAGATTCTAATTGTTACTTAGGAGGGAGCATACAAAGAGTAGGAGTCCTCTGTCCCCTTTCCTCTTTATCTGGAACACCAACCAGAGGTATCTGTTGAATTTGTTGTGTTGTTTTCCTTTCCCCATCCAAATCAAGATACATATTTTCTATTTTTATTTAAAGGTTCAGAATGTTATTTGTAGCTGGTGAGCACTGTGATGTGGACACACTAGAATGGTCAAAAAAGGTCTTCAAGGTACCTGTCTTGGACCACTGGTGGCAAACTGGTGAGTGTTTTAAAATACACTTTGTAAAATACAAGGAGTTATGTTCAGACTTGTTTCCTGACTCATGTAGAACTGATTTCTTTTTCCATGAACATTTAAATACGGAGGACAAAGTGTGAAAATCAAAATTCAAGCAGGAAGACTGTTTTGTGGAAGTGGTCTGAAAAATTACTTTAGGATATATTTAAAGCACAGCATTCTTAATAGCTCTGTAGGAAAAAAAAAAAAGGTATTTTCTGATGCCTGTGTTTTAAAAAAAAAATAGAAAAAAAATTGTGCATCAGTATTTTTTCCAGGCAGCTCATACATAAAAATACATTATATTGTTTGCATATGAGACTATTTTGTGACAGAAAGTATAGTATTTAGGGAAGCTTTCAGGTTTAAGTTGCGTTTTTTGCACATGTATTTTGTGTAATTAAAAACAATCAATCTGCAGCACAGAGTAGACTCCTTGGTCTTTAGTATTGTTCTGTATGGATCTCAGCCAACTTCTATTGATCATTTTGGAATGTCTCCCATTTATTTCACTGCAGGAGGATTAGTTGCTTAGACTGCAATGAAGGAATCAGAGTACCAATCTATGTGTAACTTTGCAAAAATCCCAGTTGAGTTCTGGATTAAGGCTTGATCAAATGTATCTCCTTATAACTATGGATTAATATATTTTTAAATTTCAGTATTACAAGATCAGATTCAGATTTTGCTTCTTACATACATTATTGATTTTTAAGCTAAGGAAGTGTATTACAAAAGCTCTCTCCTCCTCTCCCTCCCTTGCTCCCTTCCAGGAACACCTTTTCTATTTTCTGTGCAGCATTCTTTTGAGATGTGTATTTTCTCTGGTCTGTCTGTCTATGGAGAAAAACATTTTGATTCCCCCATGATGGGTCAGATAGCAGATATATAAGATTAGAATAAAAAGTGGAAAACCCTTTAGTTCATCTATAATATATGCTACGTAATGAAATCAGTTGAGAAGGTTTAAAATGAGGAGGTTAATTTTTATTTAAAAAGCCCCAGAATCTTAGATAAATACTGAGAAAGTACTGGAAGATAGTAGTGCCATTTTTTATTTAATCTTGACTTAATCTGCTAGTTAATTGATAAATATGAGAGACAAGACCTATATTTTGCTCACTTCTCTGATCATAATGTCTGTAGGCAAGAACAGGCCTTGGTAATGAGCAATTAACTGAAAAAGGTTAAAGGATCAAACAATATTTTTGACTACTTATTGAACTGGCATAAGCAATATTACTGTATGCAATTTTGCTTTTGTTTTTATCTATGTCTGTCTATATATCTGTCTATATATATGTAATTGCCTATAGCTTTGACTTATATTTAGTGCAAAGTTTTAATCTTGCTGTGTTCGTTCAGATATGTCTCAGATATCAAAGATCTTGAGCAAGCATGTGGATGTAATTGTTCTTAAAGTGTGTAGGTACAACTGTGTTTGAGAGACTTTTCAAAAAAGACCACGAACTCAGCTCATAGTACAGTATGTTTCTTGATTTTTATATTCACAGCATGCTCTTAAATTAAATTGTAGCAGGACTTAATGAGCTAGGGCCATTTCAAATACAGTGTTTGAGAGCATTTAATAATTTGATTAGAGTGAAGACTCAGTTTTAGTTGCAAGTGATTTCTGTAGAAATGTGTGCTGTTGAATGTAAGCAAAACATTTCCTTCAAAGGAAAAAAGCACAGAATAAAAATCCCTAATCACTTCTAGCAGGAAGAGGTTGAGACAATTTGCTATTTTATGTAGAGCTACTGAGTATGGAATTTTTTAATAACAAAATTCAATTTGAGATAACAAAACTATTGAATTTCATGAATTACCCTCTTTGTAATGAAATTGCAGCTGTAGTTATAAATTGCTGTTTTGTTTTGCCCGAGATTGAAAGCTTCTGACTTATTTCTGGATATGAAGGCTTTTGACCTTTGATAATCTGGCAAACTGTTACTTATTGCCCAATTTGATAGTTGTTGCATTCTTCTGAAACAAGAGCGTTGCAAAACTATGAGAAATGTTGGCATCTTAATTTTACTTGAATACTGTAGATCTCACTAATGCACTCATGGCTTAGTTGTTGGCTCTTTCAACTGAGTCTAAAGCAGATGACGGGGGAGGGCAGTCCAGTATCTGGGTAATTAGTGTTTCTTATATGATGGTGTAATTTCTGTTCCCTTGTTTATGACTAAGGAAAGGAGGGAAAAGATCAGCTTTTTAGAGAAGTGACTGAGTCGTTATTTGGAGATGGAAATGAGTATGAGTGAAGGGAAACAAAAGGTTGACAAACAAAAGTATTATAAAATAAAAAGGGAATGTAGACCACTTTCTTCTTCAGGTTTAGTAAAGTATCTTCAAAGCTCTTGACCCCATTGCCTTATATTGAAACTAGAAATAAATGAGTATGGACAAAGAAATGTTCTTTCATTTTGTCTTTGGAAGATTTGTGGAGTATATGAAATTACTGAGTTGAAACAGTACTTTGAAAGAGAAGAAAGCTTTCATTAGGACACTTTGAAGCAGCTACACCTGGAAAGCCTGATTGATTTGTGTCAATACCCCTTTGTCAATAACACTTATTTTAAGTGTTAAACTTTTTGTTACAAGTATAATAAGCCCATCTTACAAGCTGTGAAATGTATGTCACAGGATCGATGAGCGGCAAGTAGGATCTGAGGCAGTAAGGACTGACAAGCGCTTGCTGTTTTCTTTGGAGACGTGGCAATGGATAAAAGAATGGTACTTTCAGATCGTGTGCTCGTGTACGTGGAGAGAGGATAGTCTTGTTTTGGATTTGTGCAGGTGTTTAGTTTTTGTTTATTTATACAAAATAACATATAAATAGCAATTTTCATCTTCAAAGTAGTTGTGCAAACGCAAGCAAATTAATTCTTTTAACACCCCTGTGAAAGGAGTAAAGTTATTCCAGTCTCACAAACATTAAATTGAGAAAGACAAGTATCTTACCTCAAGCTATCCAGGAAGCCATTGCAAATTCAGTTTTAGAAAACAGGGCTTCTTTGCTCAGAGATAAATTTTCCTGTCATATTTACATAAATTTTGTGATATTTTGTCTGAAAGGGAACAGGAGGGTGCATTTTGGATGTTGTTCTGTCTCTGTGTGTAGTTTTGCTTTAAGGAAATGATACCGTAGCTCTATTTCAGTATTCCAGGTAAGTACATTACAGATCACCTTGCCAAAGCTATTTTAAATAGCCTAAGCAGTGCTTGGCTTGTACTTGCTGGGTCGCATCCTTGGGAGATGCCTCAATACACAAGGAAATGTGATTTTGGGTTACCTTGGTTTTGAAGCTAGCATTGAATTCTAGAATAAAAAAAGGGTAACAGCCATGAGGATGTGATGATCTCTGGAAGCAGGAAGGCTCTAAAAGCTTATGTTAAACATCCTCAGCTGCTTTCATGTTAACTATTTGGTATTTTGTAGTAAAAAGCAATAAAATTAAGCTCTACCACATTATTTTTGAGTCAGATTTCCCTTTCTTCATAAGAAGTATAGGATGTAAAGAGTTTGTTTTCTCTAGATATTTTTAAATAAAAAAATTTTGAGACTCTGTCTTGAAGATGTGTAAGAAAATTCAGATGAAACAGAACGGAATCTGAAAATTCAGTGATAAAATTTGACATGCATAAAATCTCAGTCAAGAGACATGTTTCCATGCAACTTTTTTGGTCATGCACTACGTGAATCAAAGTTACAGAGCTGTTACAGAGGAGATTCTAATTGGAGACATCTGCTGTGTCCCGAGTGTCAGCTCACTATGGCAGGCAGAACTATGAGAAGATTCTGTGTGTGTTCTGTTTTCGTGGAAATAAGCTGCCTTATCCAAGAAGGAAAGGGTGTCTGCAGCAAGCATTAGGACATAAATCAAATAGTGCTTGGTACACTATGGCTGCTGGAAAAGGTTATAGTATGTGCACACTGGAATGAGATGTTGGATACTGTGAGGCATACTGTGGTAAAATTTACTGGTAGGAATTCCCCAAGTTCTGTAGCACAGTGAATTAATATACTCTATCACTTTTAGAATTGTTCTCGTTCCTTCTCTGTGTCTTACCTCTAAAACATGGTGATATTTTTATTAGGACATACTATGATTATGTAATTCCACGTAGCAGTATTGGTTATATTAGGACTATACAAACAAAACAACTATCGTTGAATTCAGTGTAAAAAATAAATATCATAATTGAGTGTACGCACTGTAATGTATTTCAAGGAACTATTTCCTACCACAATCATGTACGGGGAAGAGTTTATTAATGTGGTCTCCAAGCAGCATGACGTGGTCCCCAGTCTTCAGTTTCCATTGTGTTGTCTTGGCAACATTGTGCAGAATCTCCTTCTCACGCATATCCAGAAAGACGGATTTTGCAACGGAATTCTGTTAGCTAATCTTCCCAGTTTTCCACTACAGAACTGTTACTTAGGTAAATTACCTTGTCAGTCTAGACTTCCATCTCCTCACATTTGACAAGTGGATTCCAGACCTTGTTCTTCCATCCTCTTCTGCTTTGCCCCATTCAGAACTGTGCAGATCAGTCCAGTGCATTCCTCAATATGATGCATTCCAGTCCAGTGCATTCCTTTAATATGGTGAAATTTTCAGACCAAGAGGCAGCAGGAAAGGCAGACTAAACAAAGGGTGGCTGTTTAATTTGCAGCAAAAGACTCAATTCGTGGATATTTTTTTTGGGTCCCAGAAATTCAGTTCTGGAGTTCTGGAGCCCACGAATCTGGAGCTGAGATGAAAGAGATGAAACAAATTTCTTCCAAAGTCCAAGCTACTGGTTTAGGTTATCAGGTGGTGCCTCAGTGAAGATGCAGTTCATGCTTTTTAAAGACGTGTGTATCCTGTCAAGAATAGCATCATATTTTTTTTAGTGGAAACTGATAACCTGCAGAACAGTTCTACAGAAGTGGTAATTATGCTGCAGAAACTTCTGCAGCTCTGCAGACATGA